TCTTCAGACACCAGTTCGTGTACTCCACTGGTACCAAAATGCATATGTCCCCTGGCTGGCATTGTCCCTATACAACGCATTCGGAGTGCTCCTTGGTGATGGGTCATGGCACTAGGGGGATGCTAGTGATTCCTGGGGGAACTTCTGGGAGTTCTGAACCTCTGCTTCCATGTCTGGCCAGAGGAACTTGGTACACTGCTGAGGGGCAGCCAGCCAGCCTTTTTGGGGCATACCCTGGTGGTAGGATGCCAAGGTGAACCAGAGTGATGAAACCCATAGCTAAAGTTCCTTCTCAGCCTTGCCGCTCCATGGAAGCTCAAGAGATGTGGAGTTGGCCTCCCTCTGGAGCTGTGGAGCAAGTGGCACCCATCCTTTACATGATTCCCGTAAGCTCATAGGAAGTTGTGGGAGCCATCTGCTTAATCATGAGCTATAATACGTAGGACAGTACTTGTGTGTAGTGTTCCATCAGCACTGGCTCCACCACCTGCCCGAGCCTTAGTCAGCTCTATGTCATCCATAGCGGTTTGGGCTTCTGGGTCGTGTGAGGCAGCAACGTGATGCATTTACACCAATGGAAATCCTGCACCACTTTAGCAGCAGATTGACCCATCCTGCAGAGGGATTCCAAGTTCAAGGTGCAGAGATTTGTGGATTCTCTTGCTGGAATGCATGAACGTGATGATCCATTCCTCAGGGTTCCAGCCTCCATATTTTGCCACGACTTGAAGCTCTTGGTATGTGTCTGTGTGCTGTCAGCCGCCGTGAGGAGTCTGCGTGCACTTCTAAGTTCATCTGGCAAGGGGATCCGCTTCGCCGTGGCCGACCATTGCCTCGTCACTGCCTCCGTGGGGGGGCCATGTGCTGCACAACAGAGGCTGTCTGTTGCTCCAGGAGTCTGGCCCATACTTCCATCTCAGCGCAGCAAGGTTCCTATGACACAGACAGAGCGACGGCTTAAATTGACAACGGGCAGCTTGTGAACAGTTGTAAGTACCTGCGTGCTCCACCGGTGTGGTGGGGCGTGCACGTAAATGTGCACGGGGTGTGATGGGTGTCCTGGTGAGGCAGTTTTTATTGAGTCACATTCGGGTGGAGCTGGTGGATAAGCAGAGGGAAAGGCAGGCGGGGCTGAGATTGGGTGACAGATCTGAGACCCTGGGGTTGCTAGAGATGACTGCTGGAGTTTTTGCTCCCTGCCAAGTGTGTCTAAAATAAAGTGAGTGAGAGAGCCGGGAATGACAGTGTGGTGTCGGCGAATCAAACAAAAGATAAGGCGAAAGCCAGAGGAAAGGGGGGTTTTAAATAGCCTCAGGATCACAGAGAAAGTCGAGCTGATGATCACTGGTGACTCAGTAGGTAATATCCGGGTCAGTCCGCTGGATAAATGGGTGGGGGTCCAGGGCTGGTGCAGGGAGAGGGGAGGCAGCTGGTGTAGATGGCCTGCTGTCCAGAGCACATGCATCTTACAAAGTCACAGACAGCGCCATCGTGAAGTATTACCGAGCTCTGCCTGGGAACAAGCGTGCATCTCACTGCTCATAGTGTGTTACAATATTACAGCTATTATCTATGAAATATGTACAGCATAGACAATGTTTAATTTATCTGAAGCTTCCAGGGGGGAAAAAAAAAACTTTTTTGTGGCTTTAATGTCTTTAGTGATTAAATGTGTAATTTTAAGTTCTGGCATTGCTTATTACACGGCCTTTCTTCAAAACGGGGGCTTTGAAGTGTCTTGTGGTCTGTCCGTTATGGGGCATTGCGTGTTGCTCCATCTCATCGGCATAAGCCTGTCAATCCAGATTGTGGGATATATATATATAAAAAGCTCATGCCAGGAAGCTTCCGGCACCAGCAAAGCTGGCAGGGTGACATGTACTGGACCTCTGTGGTCGCATGGCTATTTGGCAGCTGTGATGATACGTCATTAGTAGAGGTGATGATACATCGTTTAACATATTGGTATCAGCCAAATTCAGTCAATATTGCTGGTTGGTATTTAGACTTCATTCAATATTCTAGGTTAGCAGCACGAAAGCTAATGACATAGCTACTACAATAATGGAGACAAGTCCATTGGACGATCAACCATTTTCCATAGTGGAGGACGAGGGAATTTGCCGGGTCATTTGGCACTTAGAGCCGTGCTAAAATCTCCCAAGTTGGCACTGCATTGCTGATATCGAACTGGCTGTGCTGTACGATGTGGTTTCCACACACATTTACGATATCTTAATAAGTAGCATCGCAAACATCAGCCTCACTACAGACTTGTGTAGCTCAGGGGCTAGCCAGTTATCCGTATCAGTTATTTTTTAATGTCAGAGAAATAAATCAGTTATCGGTATCGGCCAAAATTCTTTGAACCTGTTTGGAAAGTCTGTTAATATCAGGCTGGTCATGTTCGTTCTGTTAATTTATAATGTTAAATTCAATGTACATTAAATGTAACTTGTATGCAAAACTCAAAGATTTTCAAATTTAATACGATCCAGTGATAAAGAAGCGTAGATGAGGGGCACCTAATGAATGAAGAATATTATCAATGTGGGTGGGTGTCGGACCCCCCCCCCCCATGAACTGTGACGGTCTCAAATGGAGCAACGATCAATACTCCCAAACTTAATTGAATAAACTGGAAATCTCAGGCCACAGTTAGCCTGACTTAATGCGGCTCATGTCTGCTCCACGAAGCTAGCACGGGCAGATTAATAGGGCATTAAGCTCCCCAGTAAAGATTATACACGCCTCCTTTGTCTGTGGTAACATTAATAATTCGAGCCGTTAAGCTAATCAGCCAGGAGGAACCTGTGGTTATTGGCAGCGGGGTGGGAAGGCTGTTGGTGAGGATACGTCAGCCCTCGTTCAGGAAGCTGGTCATGCTGTGCACGCGTTACCACCTCAGGGACACAGGTAACGATTCCCCGATAAAGGAAAGGCAGGGCCCACATTACGGCTCCCTACATCCCATCTTGCACACTGACAGCATGGCTTCAGGGGGCGCTCTCACTGCCGCTCATGACCATGAAAACTGGGAACGCTGACTGGAGAACCAGCTGGAGCTGCTTCAGCATCTGGACTCTTTTTTTTTTTTTCTCGGTGAAATGTTTTTAAAAAACAACCTTCCCCTTGGAATTAAGGAGAAGTAAACAGAGTTCATTCCGGGGTCAAATTGTCCTCTGTGATTCTACGGCGCGGCCTCTCCCCCTCGTCATTAGGTCTTCTTGCTACACCGTATTGGAACTAAATCCTGCACCTTGCAAGCATCCTCATACCTCTCCTCCGTCACACCTTTGTTCTCCACACTTCCTTGTTCTTTATTATTCATTTATTTCTTCCCTGGATGACACTGGGAGTGTGAATGAGGTCCCAAGCATCCATGAACAGATTCTGCAGGGTGTGAATGCAAGCCGCAGTCTTTCTGGCACAGACTCTGCAGGTGTGTCTACGGTCCCGGTGAAGTTCTGTGATCCTCTCCCCCCCCCCCCCCTCACAGGAAATTCCGGTCCCATTTCTGTGTCTGAACAGGCTGTCAGGATGGGACAAAGCTTTGTAGGATTGCTCTTCACACCAGGCTGATTATCTGGTCATTACCACGTGTGTTGTCAGGATAAAAGCACGTTCTCTTTCAGTCAGTCGATTCACATTTCCCAAACTCAAGTAATTATTGCAAACATGATAATGTTATGAAGGCACTTCCAAGTGCATAAAGATTGCCAATTATTTTTTTCGAATCATTTACAGTGTGGCGTTGATATATTCATAGGACGGCATTTAAAAATAACCCGAGAAAAATTTACAAGTACTCCCATATGTGAGACAATGCTGTTTTATTCATTTTAGAGCACATATCATCCAATCTGGTCCCAAATAAAAGACACAGACAAATGTGCTGGAATGGACCTTTCCTATTAACCTGGCTGTACACGGCGCACAGGGGCTCGGAGGGACGCCGCCGCCCTGCAGGCGGGGGCGGGCGATGACCGTGGGAGTTCCTTTCTACCTCTAATTAACACCCCTGTGTGAGGTGGGAGGGGGTGGAGGTGTGCCCCCCTCCTTTAATTTGCAGCTTCACGCCCCCGCTTGCAGCCGCGCTCAGGGTTCAGAGGTGGGGGGGTATAACAGCTTTACGTAGCGCCCCATGCGAATCCAGGTAAATTTATCACCAGCGGCAGAAAACGGAGGTTCTCCACCATCTCATTCCTTCAGCAATCCCGGACGGCAGTCCTGAGAACTGTGGTTCTTCTGTTACCGGACAGCAGTCCATAGAACCGTGGTTCCTCTGTCAGGAACCCCCCATCCTACCTTCCACACCCTGGGCTCCCCTGCTGCCAGTTCAGAATGTGCTCCGGCGGGAACTTTAATAATGCGAGGCTTTCTCCAGATGTGCATTTGCAATTATCCCGTGCCTTTTGAGGTGCTCACCTCTCCCATTCCTCCCCCCTGCCCCCACTATCCACGCAGCTCCTGAAATATTCGATCCGAGCGATTCTGAAGTGTGGAGATACACCATAACGTTGGCATAATCGCCGTGGGGGTGGCAGGGAGGCGGCTGTGGGATAATTGTGTTTTGTGGAGATCGCCGCTGTGGAAATGACACTAGAGAGTATCACTGTGACCCCACCCCCCCCACTCTCCAACAGCCCCCCCTTCATAAAAGGTCCACTGCATTATTCATGCCTGCCAAAACGGTGCTGATTGCTATTCATGCTAGCAGGTCCTGGAGAGAGGGGTGAACAACTTAAAATTTGCCACTCAGGACGAATCGGGACCTTTCTGGGACAAAGGTTCTGTTTATTTCCTAACGGCGTGTTAGCCTGCCTGCTCGGAGCAGCTATGCTAACCGCTAAGCCATGTGTGCAGTCAGGAAGGCTGTAAAGACTGAATCACTGGCCAGTCTCCAGATGGGGGTTCCGCTCTGACTTTTACGGGCCCCCTCAGGCTCCCTGTGTCTTACAGCCACTCAGGATGCCACCTGTTCTGGCCCACCCTTACAGGCAGCGCCGGGACCCCGGTGGTCTTTAACGAGAACGGCGACGCCCCCGGCCGTTACGACATCTTCCAGTACCAGATCACCAACAAGTCGACGGCAGAGTACAAAGTCATCGGCCACTGGACGGACAACTTGCACCTGAATGTACGTGGAAATCCTTATTTTGCCTGCTGTACTGAATATTATAATGCAGGGGTGGCATGGTGGTGCAGTGGTTAGCACTGTTGCTCACACCTCTGGGACCAGGGTTCGTGTCTTTGCCATGTTTCCATGTGTGTGGAGTTTGCATGTTCTCCTCGTCGTCATGGCGATTCCGCCAGGTTCTCTGGTTTCCCCCTACAGTCCAAAAACATGGTAAGTTAATTGGAGACGCTTTGAGGTGGGGTTGGTGCCCCGTCCTGGGTTGTTCCCTGCCCTACCCCCATAGGTTCCGGACCCCCGCCACCCTGAAGGTGGGTACAGAAAATGGGTGGCTGTGCATAAACCTCCTGGAATTATCCCAGTGTCATCACGAAAATCTGTTATCGCTGAAATGTAATATTGATTTTTTGGTTTAAGTTCTCCTGAAGGAATTACCCTTAAAATTAGGAACAGTTACTCAGCAGCTAATAAATGAAATTAACAAATTGCTGATAAGCAACTGATATAAGATTAAAACACTGCTCCTGATTTTAATGATGGTTGGACTCACTGAGCTGTACGAATGTTTGCTGGTTCTGGTTCTCTTTCCTGACACCTTCAGGGATGCGACCTTGAATCCCGCCTCCGTTCTGTGTGTTTGCATGTTTTCCTCCAGGTGATCCGGATTCCTCTGAGTTGCCCATAGTGTGTGATTGTGAGTGATTGTGAGGCCCCTCAGGAGCCCTAAGCAAGATAAGCAACTGGGAGATGAAAGGATGTGTGGACATTCCCTGTGATGTCAGTGTTCTTGTTTTTATATGCTAACCTGTGTGGCTTTTCCCATGATCCTTTGCTAGCTCCCTTTAAAATCAAAGCAGCAAACATCAATAAAACTTAATTAAAAAAAATTGCCTGAACCTGCCAACAGTCCCCCCCCCAATATTTTTTAAATGCAAAGTGATGTGCGGTACCAGCCAGGAATCAGCTTAAGGTTCAGTTTGACAAGTTTAATTAGAACACCACCTACTTCCACACTATTCCCTTAATAATTACAATGAAAAAAAGCTTGTGGTTATACACCATTTGCTGCGGGCTTGAGTTATTCATGTGTGACTGTCATTTTTACGGAAAGGAAATAATTAAAGAATAAAAAAACAGCTTGTGTCCACGTTTTGGGTTACTGATGTGGACCCTACAGATGCCCCCCCATCCCACCTCCGCAGCTCAAGGCTGCCAGTCATAATGCCTAGAGGTTGCCATGGAAACTGTTTTAACACCTGGTAAGGATCGGGGGGTGGGGGGCTACGAGGGGCTGGTGGACGGATGAATGGGTCCGAATCAAGGCAGGCCGGCTGAGCAGAACCGACGCCCGCGGTTATTTCTCTGCTTTTTAGTGGCACGGCAGCCAGTCAGGGACACAGAAAGCCCCCCCCGAGGGACAGGAGCACCGTATTTTGGCCAGGCAGCCTGGTGTTGCTCACCGTGTTCGAGACGGACGCGGGCGGCGCCCTGGTGCTTCTGACCGGGTTCGAGACGGAGGCGGGTGGGGGCTTCTGCACAAAAGCGCATCTTGACTGTCATGCTCCACAAGACCTTAATTGGGCCGCAGTTTCTGAGGTACACGTTGGTCGTCCATTTGGATGCACCAAACAAATTCTGGGCTTGTGAGATCTGCAGATATTGGCAGAAAACTTACATAACATGGAAGATAAAACAGTAACAGTTACATACCTCCAAAGTTACTGACACAGTGTAAAGTTGCATTTGTATTTACACTCCCTGGGAGTCAAACCCACAACCTTTGCTTTGGAACTGCAATGATCTGCTTGCTGAGCTACAGGATATCCCTTTATGTTATTTCTATATGGGCAAAACCTGGGTTTCTTCCATGCAGTACCGATCGAGACCCATGTAGGACCCTAGGGTAGCTTCAGTGCCGGCTGAGACAAAGTGAAACTGGCCAGTTAAGTTTGCATGCCCTCAGAAAATGGTGCCCTAGACGGCCGACTGATGGGTTGACCAGCACTGCTCCCATTCCACTGTCATTAAATGTTACATCTATGTGTTAATGACTCTATATATTAAAACCACCACAGTCACGTTTCAGAGTGAGTCTATTTTCTCCCTCTTTTCCGTGTCTTGAAGCACGCAACGCCGCAGCTTATGGGATTTTGTTACTGTGGAATGAAACCTTTCCAACGTGTCGTGTGTTTTTCTCTGCGTCCTACTTACGCCACTGGTAATTTGTGCCGGAGCGTTTTCGCCAGTTTAACACCAATTAAAGTCGAGCCTGATGCTCCGTGTAAAAATACCCAGAACGGCAGGCTCTGTTCCCTTCAACGCCCTCCAGTCGGATTACCAGCGCTGAGGCGAAACGCTGGCAATTTTCACAGCAAATTTATAACCAGTCTTAAAACAAATGTCACTCCATGTTCCCCAAGCCAAATACACAGATTTTATAATTTTTTGTCCTAGCCAGCAGCTGTATAACTCAACCAAGTTTCCACATGGATGTCCATAAGACCAATACTGCTTCCTCGTTTGGGCAGCAACACAGATTTTGTCTTACTGTGATCTTGTTCTTTGCAGGCAAAACAAGATTCTTCAAAAGAAAAAACCCACTTTGTAGATGAATCATTTATTTAAAGGCAGTAAGTCTGGAAAATATATTAGGTATTGACATAGCCATATAAGTTGGATATTGAATTAGTGTTGTGATATGTTACAGTTATTGTATGAAGATTTATATACATACTGTAGGACGGCAAATTATCTTTGAGGTAAAAATTCTCTTGTTGATTGATGGCAATCTTAATTTTTTCTTGGTCGTTCCGACTGTAGTGAGGTTACAGAAAGTCGTTAGTTTAGGAACCCCGTGATTTACTCTGTGCACTTTGCCGACGGGCGGCGTGGGCCAGGCAGCTGAATGACACATCCAATATCCTGAAAAGGGCTCTTATTCCATTGTGGGCATTCAGCGGTATTTGTGAGCGATAGTGGGGCTTTGTTAGCGCTAAAGGCTGCTCATCCTTTGTTAGCGCTAATGGCTATTCCTGCTTCTCCTTTTAGCGCTAGCGGCTGGTCATCCTTTGTTAGCGCTAATGGCTATTCCTCCTTTGTTAATGCTAACAGCTGTTCCTCCTTTGTTAATGCTAATGGCCGCTCCTTCTTTGTTAGCACTAACGGCTATTCCTCCTTTGTTAACGCTAACGGCCGCTCCTCATTTGTTAGCGCTAATGGCTATTCCTCCTTTGTTAATGCTAACAGCTGTTCCTCCTTTGTTAGCGCTTACGGCTGCTCCTCCTATGTTAGCGCTAATGGCTGTTCCTCCCTCGCAGGTGGATGCCATGCAGTGGGCGGGGGGCAGCAGGGCCGCACCGGCCTCTGTGTGCAGCCTGCCGTGCCAGCTTGGCGAGCGTAAGAAGATGGTGAAGGGCGTGCCATGCTGCTGGCATTGCGAGCGCTGTGAGGGCTACCACTTCCAGGCGGGCGAGTTCAGCTGCGAGCTGTGTCCATACGAGCAGCGGCCCGACCGCAACCGCACCGGCTGCCAGCCCATCCCCATCGTCAAGCTGGAGTGGCACTCACCCTGGGCCATGGCGCCAGTCTTCATCTCCATGCTGGGCATCGTGGCCACCACCTTCGTCATCGTCACCTTTGTGCGCCACAACGACACGCCCATCGTGCGTGCCTCGGGCCGCGAGGTCAGCTACGTGCTGCTGACGGGCATCTTCCTATGCTACGCTACCACCTTCCCCATGATCGCAGCCCCCGATGCCGCCATCTGCTCGCTGCGCCGCATCTTCCTGGGCCTGGGCATGTGCTTCAGCTACGCCGCCCTGCTCACCAAGACCAACCGCATCCACCGCATCTTCGAGCAGGGCAAGCGGTCGGTGACGGCACCGCGGTTCATCAGCCCCGCCTCCCAGCTGGTCATCACCTTCAGCCTGATCTCTGTACAGCTACTGGGCGTCTTCGTGTGGTTCGCCACTGACCCGCCGCATACCGTGGTAGACTACGGCGAGCAGCGCACCCAGGACCCGGAGAATGCCCGTGGCGTCCTCAAGTGTGACATCTCGGACCTCTCCCTCATCTGTTCCCTCGGATACAGTATTCTGTTGATGGTCACGTGCACTGTTTACGCCATTAAGACTAGGGGGGTCCCAGAGACCTTCAATGAAGCCAAACCCATTGGATTTACCATGTACACTACCTGCATTATCTGGTTAGCATTTATCCCCATCTTCTTTGGGACCGCACAGTCAGCCGAGAGGGTAAGCCTGGACCAATGTCATATTTCACCAATGAAATATTTATGGAGTGTTTGATACACAGTGTGCAAACTAGATTGCAGGAAGGAGGCCAATTGCCCATAATGCATCACTGTTGAGAGTAGATGAAGCCACTGTTTACTACTGTTGCTCCTTGGATTGGTAAAATTATACCTTAGTTATTTGATGGTGAGGAGGCGAGAGGTGAGGTCATCATTCATCCAATGGATTCTTACTGGGCCAATCCCATTGGCTCCTGGATAGATGTGAGAAAAAGGAAGCATGTCATTGGATAGGGCAAGGTGTGCAGAGGGAGGACCAGGAGATGAGAGTTCACAGCTCTGTGAGGAAGCAGATGTCACATGGTCCGCCCGGCAAGAAACCCGAGATGTGTTTTAGTGACTTAACACCAGCAAGAGGCAAGGTCACGAGCTGCAAATTGATAGTCTTCTTCCATAATTAACAGAGGGGACCTTCTACCTCAGTTTCTACCAAGGTGCTAGATGCATTAGTAATGAACATTTACCATCAGGACCATTCTCCTCTTCTGCATGTAAGTGAACCAAGGTGCCCGATGGATGCCAAGTGACGGTTCAGAGGCACTACCCCAATAGGAATGTTTAGCTAAACTTCTTACCATAAATTGACCACATTTAGTTATAAAAGCACTTTAGTTTTACTACTGTTACACTTAGCATTTTGAATTGTGTGTAATATAGAAGGGAAAACTCAGTGTTGGGTTTGAGTCTATTTAACTATAACACCTCATTAGTCAAGCCTTGCCGTAGCCCAACAATAAATCCATCACCTCCGTGATGCTCTTCTCAAACGCAGTGTAGCTGCGGTTGTTTTTTTTGGCCGGACACCTTACATATCCATCCTCGAACGAAACCTTCCTCACTTATTTATGTTTCGTCATCTCAATCTTCGAGAGATAAGTATTCAACTTTCTCCTTGGCAACCGTAGCTCATTTCACCGAGACCAGCAAAAAAAAGGACGATAACTGTGTGCGTTCCACTAGAACGCGCCTTTTCACTGGGGATGTAATTAGTCTGTAGGAAGCAGATAAATGTTTCAGATGTTTCAGCGTAACAGCAGACCTGTCAGGTTCCTGAAAGGACTGGGCTTCATGTCCCATGGATCGATATGTAAAAAACTCAATCAGTCTATCCCCAGGCAGGCGGACAGGTAAACCCCCCCCCCCACAACCAAGGAGAGGCTGAAACCACCAGGCAACTCTGAGCTCTATCATTGCGGCCAGGCAGGCAGGTTGTGGGTGAATGGAATGAAGCTATCAACCCAAGGAGCTTGATACCCCCTGAGAGTCCCCCCCCCCCCTTCAGATACATCAGTGGGTTCAAATTCTCTGCATCACAGCAACCTCAGCTCAAACAGCCCCCCCCTCCCCGTTTAGTAATACCTGCACTTGCTTTTTTTCCCCACTCGTTAAAAAACACCACACTAAAACCAGTCATATAGCCTGGAAAATCAATCACCCAAATTTGTCCTTCAAATAAGTCAGAGGATTTAATGACCGCAAGGTGTTGATGTAAGAAGAACATTAAACGATAATCTACATTTGCTGTCGGTATTGTCCTTCCTTTCGCCCACCAGATGTTTGGAAAACGCCCACTGAATCTGTGCTGCTACGCTGTTATTTAGATGAACGGTCACATTATGCCGGGAGCTGGGAGGATAAGTTGTCGATATGCTGAGAAGCGCTCGCTTCGCGTATCTGGCAGCCTTGAGAGCAGAAGCATCCTTGGATTTTAAACTTTCATGAGATACCTGTGACAGTGCATCCTAATGCGGGAAGGGAAAAAAATGTAGCAATTCCGCCTGGATGAGATTATGAAAATGAGGGTTTATGGGGTTTGCCTTTGTCAGCAGATATCTGTTGAGACCTGGCCAAAGAGGGTGATGGGGGGTGGGAGTATGACCAGCTGTGAGCATGCTGCCTTATAAGGTGACAGGAGTATGACCAGCTGTGAGCGCGCTGCCTTATAAGGTGACAGGAGAATGACCAGCTGTGAGCACGCTGCCTTATAAGGCGACAGGAGTATGACCAGCTGTGAGCACGCTGCCTTATAAGGCAACAGGAGTATGACCAGCTGTGGGCACGCTGCCTTATAAGGTGACAGGAGTATGACCAGCTGTGAGCACGCTGCCTTGTAAGGTGACAGGAGTATGACCAGCTGTGAGCATGCTGCCTTATAAGGCAACAGGAGTGTGGCACCAGTTCCCAGGTTTTTTGGCTGCATTCACTGCCAAAGCACAGAAACCCCTTCACGTTTGTGCATTTGACATTTGTGGTTTTGCTTATTCGCAAATTAGCTAGAAACAATTAAACAGAATATTTTTGAAGGTTGCTGGAAGACCACAGAAACTCAAAGACGATATGCAAGCCATGAACAATACTGAAAATGATTCAAATTACATAAAATCATATAATATATAAATATACATCATATACATAAATATACATTATATTTGTCAGTGTAACTGCATGCTATATCTTTAATATTAATATTAAGTCTGGGCTTGGGTACCTTGCACCAGGGACGGATTATGGGTTGTGTGGGCTCCTGGGCAAAACGTTCGCGAGGGCCCCCCCCCCCTCAAAAAAAAAACCCAAAAAAAAAAGCGCCAGCATTGTCTGGGATGGCTAGTTGCTACGTCATCATGCCACTTGTGGGTCCAAACTAGTGCGGCGTACCGTGTTGTAAAAGCAGAATGATGTTGACAAAACTATCTTTTGCCGCTTATTACCTTGGAAAAAGTGAAAAGAAGGTGGCTTAAGTTGATACAGTAAGTATCAACAAGTAAGTAAGTAAGTTCAGTAAGTAAGTAAGTATCAACTTACAGTAAGTTAGTTCCTATAGCAGGGCCGGGGGCCCCCTGAAAGCACCGACCCCCCCCCCCCCCCCCCCCCCCCCCCCCCCCCCCCCCCCACCACCACCACCACCACCACAACCACCACAATTCAAGGGCCCTTGGCAGCCAAACGCCCTCCCTCCATGTTTCCATCAGAGGCCCTATAGGGTCAGGGGCCCTTGTAGGCAGAGGATCAAAGAATGTACAGTAGGCCCTCTAAAATAGACAAACGAAAATACATTGTTGATAAGCGTTGCAAATTGTTTTGGGCTAGGGGCCCCACGGGCCCCCTGCACCCCAAGGGCCCCTGGGCAGCGGCCCCGCTGGCCCGGTCCGTAATCCGTCCCTGCCTTGCACATCTTTGTCTTTATAACCAGCCTCGCTCACCTGTTAGCTGGCTTTGTGACTGAGATCTTGTGTTTCTCCCTCAATAACTTTTAAACTTCTCGGTGCCATTAATTTGGCCTTTTCAATCATGAGTCCAAAACATAGTTCTCCCAGTGCGTACGGTAGTAACTTTGTACCTACAGGGGCATAATTTAGATGGTTTGTAATATATATTATGTAAAAAGGTCTTGGTAGGAAATGAAAATGAACAATGTTTGTTTAGATACTGATAATAAATAGACATGTTATTGCTTAGGTTAGCAGACTGTTATGGGTTAAGGTTGGGGGGCCCAAGTGTTATTTGCAAATTTTTGCATGTTTGGGGATCTTCCAGCCCTAACCCTCAGTAATATGAAGGGGTTACTGTACAAGCCACACCTGCCTTTCATTGGTAGCAACTGATCTGATGGTGAGACTGTGAGAAGATGAATAGCAGTTTGGAGTAATCACAGTCTGGAATCGTCTTCTCTTGACTATGCGGTGGTTTCCTGAATGTAAAGTATCCCCATCGCACAGCTGGCTGCGCGATCAAACTGCCAATTTCCAATGTCACACAAAGCTTGCTACTCAATATCATCCTGTTGTCCATGATGGATTGAAAACAGACTGTTTAGCCGGCTGAGGAAATGACCGCCAGAGAGTTTCTAACGATCCGAGTCCCTGCAATTTATCTTGGCAGCGTACAGCAACTTGGTCTGCTTGCTCTACTGAAGTGCCTAACTAGTGGTGACTTTGCAAATAAAATCCTTCCATCAGATACATCAGAGAAGGAATCACACAGGTTAGACACAATGAAATATATAAATCCATGGATTGTATAAACAGGCCCTTGCATTTTGCAGGATGAATTGCCGGTTCTTTGTTTTTCTCTCTTTCAATCTCATAAATGTTGTGGTTCTTATACTGTATATGTTTCATTAAAATATTGAAAAATGTTAAAATCCGAATACTTTGCTGATTATGGGATAATGTTTGTTGTTCCAAAGTTTTATTCTAGTCTTGTCGCTCTTTGAATTCTAAACCCATGGTTTTGCTTGGCTGGAGTTGTGCACCCATGACATCAGTCTACCGAAGTTCTGTGTCCTGGTCTCTATGCATCATTATGGTTTCCTTGTGTTGTTTAGTTTCAGGTTCTGTTTCCTGGTTCTCATCCCTGGCTCTTCTGCATATGGGTCGTTCTGGGCCTTCCCAGCAGTCGGCAAGTCCGGAGGGTTTGGTGTTTTCTGTGCTGTACTGTCAGACTCGGGGACCACTAGACAACGCGGCATCGTGGGTGCGACGGTGTAGTTTGGGGGGTTTTTTGTTAGTATTTTGTCAGTTGTGGAACAAAATAAATGGATTTTTATTGAGCCCCTAAGTCCTTGTGTGACAGAAGACTGAGCCCTAATATGGACTCAGTGGAGGTTGTTAGTTCTCGTTACGGTGCTGGAGAAGGGATGCCAGATGTTTGTTTTTTCGTCCACCCAGTCTAGTTATAACCCTCTCAGATGTTTTTTTGGTGGCAATTCAGGTTTAGCACGCAGCCTCTCAGACATCCTGTCAATTTTGGTCTGCCTCAGTCCTGGGACACAGCAGACCTATCATTATTTAATTCTCTTGGCTGTTTGTGGCATCTGGGTTTTTGTGTGGATCAGTGCTTTGCGATTTGCCCTTTACGAAGGGGGCTTGATCACACCCGTACTGAGTGGGACTGAGCGAGGTCCACCTGACCCGAAATGGAGTTTGAGGCTCCAGGTTCTTT